AGTGTAACGTGTACGGAAATAACGAGCAGGTGGTTCAAGCGACGAGAAATCAATTTCACTAAAATCACGAGGAGCGGTCGATGCGATGTTGGAAGATGTTCTCACTTCTGTGCCTCGAAATGTACTGACTTTGAACGCACTACGATCTTATAGACACTATACAGAGCACATGGTTGAACTTTCCCTTTTCCAAAAAATCACTCGATGAGATAACTCCGATATTCGAAGACGTTGTCGCTCTTCCACGTTTTAATTTCTACTGGCTTTCAATGCGCTACGATCTATACATAGAAACTGTAGAGAACATATGGTCGAAATTAAACTTTCACTTTTTCACTCGATTGAGATAAATTCGATATTCGAAGATGTTCTTGCTCCGGTGGCTTACCGTGTACTGACTCGTGAGTACACTGAAAGAAATTTAGAAGCATATTTCTCTCTCACAGAGACCACAGCGCTCCAGGCACGCTGATAGAATATATATATTTACAGTGGAGGCTTTGAAAAAATATCTACAGTGAGAGAGGGGGAAATCCTTATAGGGTAAATGTGGGATTACTGCGAAATTTTTAGGTTGTTTTCCAAACTTCGATATTAAATGCTGTAAAAATATTTGCCTAATAATTTTTTTTTTTCACGTTATTGTTCGGGATCTCAGCGAAACAATTCCAAACTGAAAAATTGTTTCATTATAATTCAATAATATCAAACAGTACTGTAAAAAATAAAAATGGATGCATGTATTACTGCGGTACACGCATACATTACTGTGTACCTATTACTGCGGATGACCTAATACTGCGCATGTATTAAGGTGGTTTTTTTTCAGCTTCAAATGCAAGATTTCAATAGTATTAAAATGATTTTCAACTCATAAGTAAAAAAAATGTTTCTCAAATGGTTTTTGAAAGGATTTTTCGTCTTTATTTGGATACATATGTAACTTCACAATCACAAACAAGCAGTTGCTTTTTAGTTATGGGATGCCCTTTTTCACATCGAGTTACAATACAGTCCACTATCTTATCCTCTTCAGTTTTAGTAAAAACTGTTGAACGTCCTGACCTGTCGCTTTTATATTTTCCTGGATTTCGAGCTCGGATTGTTCATTCAGGTACCTTGAAAGTCCGTGAAGCTTCGGCGATGGACGGCTTCAACAGCAAGATTAATATTATCTTGAGGGTAATTTTTTTTTGCGCAACGGATTCACTTTGATTTTGTTCTTACTTGGTATAATTTTTTTTTCTTTGCCCATGATGCTTTTACTGTAAGTTGATTACTGCTACCGCAGTAATATACTCATTTCAATAAAATGATGTACCTAACATTGTAGGGCACTTGGACCAGTGATTGACGGCTTTCGACCAGTAAATGACCACTTTTGGATGTGCAACAATTATTATTTTTTCTTATTATATGATAATTGGACATAGAAAGCAAGATACTTCGGTCGCTGAAGAATTGAATAACGACCATTACAAATATATTTTTAATTGTTTTCACATCATATTTTCGTAAGCCCTCTGTATACTGTGTACTCCACCGTAGCGTTTAATCAAGGCATTTATGCGAAAACACCGCGTGTCGGGCAACGGCACACGGCGAAAGAGAAAGAGAGAAGTCACGAAAGCCGCGCGACGTGTAAACAACAGAACGAGCATCGATCTCTGTACTCTTCGCGCAATTTTCTCGTATTATATTCAGAGCATAAAATTTCGAAGTTATCAACATCGTTATATCATTGAAAAAAAATGGCATTATGTGTCTAGTGTCTAATGATGGCTAAACATTGTTCTGTCGATGATCAAAAAAATCATTCTATGGCGCTCGAAGCACATCGAGAAGAACCAATTCTCAGTGCGCTATCAGACTCGAAAACAATTTGTATGTACCAACGCGCTCGTCGATCATCATCGTATGCTCTATGCACTCGACGAAGCTCGACTCGTGCAGCGCGCGCCAAAGTGCGTATACATGCAATAAAAAATAAATCGTATAGTAGTAAGATATATAACGTAAAGACGTTGTATGATATATACGATTGAGAAACGTGTATTACGTATACGTACGACGATAATACTTGCATCGCTATCGCACGCGAATCCGACGTCGAGAAATAATCAATAGCTCGTCGCCGGTCCGTATAGCTCGAGGTATTTTTCGGTGCATAAGTGCATGGCAAAGCTCGGAGTCACGAGCGTATATACTCCGTTTTTCAGGGGGGATGGAAATATCCTTGCCTCAACCAGAAAAATCGCACCAACTTCGGTGCAGTAGTTAGGGCATAATAACGAGCGCGCATCGTCGCAAGCACAGCCGCTAGACGAGAGATGCGCGTATCGTATTACGCCGTAGTATATATTAGACGCAGATTTCGCTGACGCGCGGATGGCCCCCGCAACTATATACCGCACATATTTGACGTTACGATATATTACGAGCTTGTTATAATACGCCACGCTCGCGCGAACACGCATAATTCCGTGTCTTCGCGAGCTTTTTTTTTCTTCGCGAGTAATAAATAAATCTCGCTCGCTGCACCGTGCGTGCATCGGCCCGCGGTTTCTTTGTATCGGTGTACACGTTTCAGACAAAAAGAAAGTTCATTCGGTCAAAGTTATAAAGTTCGAATTCGTAATGGAGTATAATTCGTGCCACGCCATTTGTTTGTTTGTGCTTAGGTATAGATAAAAAAGCTCGAGTAGAGTCGAGGCAAGATATATATATCATACATTCGGACAATAATATTATGTACTGAATATTGAACTATTTGCGTCACGCACACACACACATGCACATGTGCGCCGCGCGTTGATATCACCGATAAAGCACAGGAGGCGAACTTTCGACCGAATAAGTATAAAACTGTTTCGTGTGTACGAACGTTTTTTTCCCCTTTCAAGATTGCGATTATTATTATAAAACAAAAAAAAAAGAAAGAGCATGACACACGAGTCATTTTTTTTCCTCTTGTTTTCGCTCTTTGCAAAACTGCTTCGAGGCGCAGTGTGTTCGGCCAAATTGAGTTACATCTGTGCAGGGATCGGCCATTCATAGATGCATATTGCATATATAGCACGCTTACATGCATGCATGCCGCTAAATGCCACGAAGGACGAACAATTGACGTGTTTTCTCTACAGCTGCGGTTTAGTGTGGCGCGGGGAGATCGATTTTCTTTTTTTTCTCTTTCTCTCTTGACTTCTGTATCTTGTAAAGATAACAAAAAAAAAAACAACAGCGTGTACTGCACGATCGTTATTCGCGCGTATATATACAGTAGTGCAGCTGTCCGTGATGAAAATTCATTCCTATGCGTCGAGTACCTTTTTCAAGTATTGTTTCGATACAACCGCGGAGGCCTATAAGGCTGCATTAATTTTTCAGAATAGAAAAATACCACCTGTAAGCGGTTCGAGTCGATTATTAAGTGACCCCGCGTAATAACGCACTAATACAGCTTTGCATGTGTGCGCATGGCGTTATACAGTGCACGATAACAATGATAATAATGGAGAAAAAAAAATTATTCTAAATGCGCGCGTGTTGCCATTGACCCAGCACATTATTCTACGCACACGCGAAACATCCGACCGCGAGACAGTCCGACGAGCGCGCGCAGCCTTATAATATATCGCTGCCTGCATCGCTATATATACATAAATGCGCGACAATAATTGCTCTCTTCCGTAAAAGTTTCGAGCCTAGCTCGCGCATAAAAGTGTACACGTTAAAATTAATGATGATCGAACGAGAGGAGCTCGTGTGCAGCTGCGTACGGAGTAAAAACAAAAAGCGATATTAAGAAAACCAGAGGCGCGGGCATGGCGGGTACGGGTATTATATACGCGTGCGAGAAAGTTTGCCCGTTGTTCTATATACATACATCCTCGCGGAGGTGCGGATTACTCGCATATATATATCGTGTATATTTTCAATCGTGTATAAAGTTTGCGCGCAAATAGCAAAACTGCAGTATAGCACAAGTGCGATTGCAACAATAACAACGAACGCGTAAAACTCGTACAAGGACTTCGAGTGCTAGAGAAAGAGAGAGAGAGAGAGAATTGTGGCACCTATAGTAAAAAAAAATAAATAAATAAAAGTTTCGCAAAAGTGCGGAATAATTGAAAAATCGTAAAGCCGTGTCCGCCCGCGCGGCGGCGCGTCCTGTGCGGTCGTATAGGTAGTCGTTGTTTTTGTTTTTGTTATTGCACAGCTGCGTTTTACGTACATCTAAAGCCAACGATATAATAATACAAAGCCGAGTGCACGTATTACCTATAGTTATAATATGCAATGTCTTTACACATCACCATATCGATCCGCTCGATTCTCATTGTCCATCCATCTGTCTCTCGTTGTACTACTCGCCGCGCAAACGTCCGACAAATAATCCAGTAATTGCTTTCGATTGCTTCTCTAGCTCTATCCCTCCCCTCTGCCTTCGATCTATCTCTCTATGTATATGAAACGGAGAAAAGACATCGCGTTTTCTCTCGACACGGTGACGCGTGAATATATCTATAATACCTGTATTATATGCAGATCTAGTGTACGTCAATTTTCTATAACAAAGAGGAGTACTGTAATATACGCGACTGAGCGAGGATATAATGCTTAATCGAGAAACTATAGCAGTACATATTTTTGATTGTACTTGAATTATGTAATTACTCTTAAGTATAAGGTCGAAGAAGTCGTTCGTGAAAAATCTTAATCCTTGCACATAAACGAGACGATCTCTGCGTACAGAGTATTTTTAAGGTATACTAATGAAAATTCCTCGATGCAGACACTTCGTTGTACCGAACGTTATTCTGCATTCGTATAAGCGCGCGTCGATGCGAATATAATAGCGTCAGTATGAATGAATGAAAAATATGTTTTGTCGACTCCCGGGGGGTCGAATTCGCGCGTCAATCGAGAAAATTCAACAGTAACAAAAAACAACAACACGAGATAATCATAAAATTTCTTTCTCAATTATTACTTTGCAGCGGTCCGCAGAATTACGTGCAGAATTGCGCCTACAACGGGGTCGGCAACGGCAACAGCAACAACAACGGCGCCAGCAACGGCAACGGCAACGTGGCAGCGGCACCGCCGTCCGTGGTCGTCGTCGGCAGCGGCGTCGTCGGAACCAACAATCAGCAGCAGCCGATGAACGTCGGCAACAACATGCTCTGCGCGCCGCGCAAAGTGCCCAACAATCACACGAGTCCCGGCCAGCATCATCAGCCGTTCAAAAAGCCCGCGGTTGCGCTCACCCATCTGCCGAAGCGGCCGCCCGTCGACATCGAGTTCAAGAATCTCGCCTACAGCGTCTCCGAGGGACGACAGAGAGGTACGTGTACGATATTCTTTTTATATGTAGTCGTCAAAAAAAAAAAAAGGCGCGTCGCACCAGTCCCTCGGAGAAGACACTCGCCGCCCACGAGTTATCTGATGTTGGCGGAGTACGTCGTCGTTGTCGTGTATAGTTACGTAACTGTGGGCAAGGATAATATATGTAAACGAAATATTTTAGCTGAAGGATTTAATAGGTACAATTTTCCGACGCGAAATCTATCGATTCATCTATACTCGTCTTATTTTTTCTGTTCACCCTCAAAAAAGGCTCTCGTCGATTTATTAATTAAATTCATTTGGCGAATTGACGTAATATAAGTACGAGAGTCGCGTGTGTCAATTACGCTCGACAGATACCACTGTCCGCCGAACAAACTCTATACGTTTTCTTTTAATTAAGGACGCAGCTTCGTTGTCATCCGACAATCGCGAAATTGGGACGTGTTCGTGAAATTTTTTTCCCCTTTCAAGATATAATAAATAAGAAATTTGAATGAATACAATTCAAATGAAACTCTTTTCTATGCACACGAGAGAAATATTTATCTAGTTTTATTCGCAAGGGAACCTAAAACCGGGATAAAGATGAAACATTTTTTTCAAATCCTCTTTGAGATTCTCAATAAAATATATTGTTAAGGAGCTGTACGTAACACGAAGGATTTACGTTCCATTCTTCTCGTGGATATTTGCTACTTCTCGACGAATATTGAATAAAAATGTCAGAAAATGCGTGGGAAAATTTTCATTACTGTATACCCCGCGTATTTTGGCATGTATACACGACGCGAAGTCGAGAACAGGGCTAAATTAAATTTATTATACTCGGAACAAAAGGGCGATGCATCAATTAGTTGGTATTTAATAAATATACTGTCACACGAACTCTCTCCAACCATGCAATACAAAATACACGATCAATCTTTTACTCAACCCAGATGAGGAAAAGCTCCTCTCCGAGCGCAAAAGAAAAAGAAAGAAAAACACGATTCGGTAAGGTCAACTGTTGCCTCGACGAGTATACTATATACGTATACGAAACTTCAAAAAGACCTACTCCCCCGGTCCAGAGAAGTTTGTACGATCATTACACAATAGCCGCGCTGATGAGCTCGAGTGTATCGCGCGCGCGCGCGCGCCTCGAAAATCACCAGTTTGGGGTAAAGTGTCGTAGTCGTCGGGCGTATTTTATATCATTATTATATATTTAAGTCCGCATTCGTTCTTCTCGAGTCCAACTGCACAGCAGTTGCATACACACGTACACACACACACATACTCACACACTTGTACAGCGAACGGAGTAAAATCGGTTGAACTGGGTCGCGAAGTACCCACGAGGCGTGGGGGGAGGGAGGGGGGAGGCGGTCGCCCGTCAAAGTCGGGCGGGTCGACTCGGTGCAAGCTCGAGCTTTCCCTCTCTCTCTCTCACTCTCTTCGACTCGAAATGCAGCGGCGGCGGTGGCGAGTGCAAGCGTACGAGACGAGTGAACGACCGAGCGCAGACCCATTGGTCTCGCGGGGGGATAGGATCGATAAATTTGTACCATAAAGATTTGTATATAATATACGTGTACGGATAGGGAGCTTTGGCTGCTTTACGCGCGTTATATATGCACCTGCTGCTGCTGCTGCTGCTGCGTCGTCTGCGGTTGCAAACGCGAGAAAAGACAGAAAAGAGAGATACAAACTTGGCAGCTAGAGTAGAGTCTCGCTTGGCGCGCATAATTTTTCTTATTTTTTAAATTATAATTACGTTGGAACGAGGTATGGATATCGCACTTTTTTTCATTCGCGTGCTTATAAGATCGTGTATAAATACACGAGAGAAATATCATTTGGATAATTTACATTGACCGACTGACCCGGCGCACTAGGATGACTCGATGAATAACAAATCAGCGCACGAAGATCGAGCGCACACGACGTTCCTCGTGTGCGCGCGATCGATCTATCAACGGATCTTTATTATTATTTTTATGATCGTAGTCCGTAGATGCCATGTGCAGAATATGGAAGCTCTAATGGATCGAGCGATGAGTTGATACGCAGAGTCTCGAGACAAGATCGATCGATGTAATTATTTTTAAAGAATTACTTTTAGATAGATACTTTTAGAAAAAAGTAATATTAGAACAAAAAACTTTAATCGAAGCAAGTTTTTATTGAATTTGTTTAAATTTTATTAATTCGAATGATATGAAAAATTTGAAAAATATAGTAACACTCGACGTGGAAAAATTATACAAATATGTTTATCATAAGTGTTGACCTGTAACTGCCAAGCAAACGTTACATAGATCTTCGTTCATTAGCTCCTTGAGAATAATTTCACAGCAGAGAATTGGCAACTCGTAACGTGTCAGCTCCAAAAAAAATTCCAGCGTCCAGCGTCGAAAAAATCCTTTCGATAGCTTCTCACATATGTGCGCAACGCAAGCCATTCGATAAGTCCGGTAAATGGGCCAATCATCAGCATCGTAGGTGTAAGCTAAATCGAAATAATCCTCATACGTGACTAGTTTTGCAGCCTCCTCGGGTCTCATTTGGACCAGGTCGTATAACGTTAGACTTGGATCATTATCTTTTATCATTATGCATTTAGCTTCATCAACAAACCATTTTTTAAATTCCTGCACGCTACTAGAATCCGTTGATTTCTCAAACAATTCGTACTTGGCAAAAAATTTCATGATCGTTAGAGCTTCGATTCGATCCAGCTGATATCCTCTTTCTTCTAAGCTTTGGACGATGACTAGGGCACGAGGTGCTGCTGTAAATTTAAACTTGATCTTATCTTCAAAATCATCCAAATTTTTTGTAGATTCGAATCCTTCGGCAAAATAATTGTCAGTGGGGAAAGCAAAGTTGGATAGGTCAGCACCATTGTCCAAAAGTACATTGACATCGTCGGGTAAAAGATTCGCCACAGCCCATTGGAGCGGTGTCCGGCCCTTATTGTCTCGAACGTCGACCTGCACCAACTGAGCGACTTCTTCGCAAATCTTAAAGAATAATTCTGCCAATTTATAGTCATCGTATTGATGATCATTAAAAATATTGTGCAAAGGCGTCGATCCTTCTACATTGGTTATGTTCGGATTGGCGCTATTTCTCAGCAGAAATTCCATCAAGTTCCTCTTCCCGTAGTCCAAGGCATAGTGCAGCGGTGCGTTGCCTAACTTGTCCTGAGCGTTGACTTGAACCGGCGGATATCTTTCGTCTCTTATCTCAAATAACATCTTGGCTACATCTTTAGAATCATTTGAATAGCGACTCACGATATGCAGAGGAGTCAGTCCGTCCTTGTTGGCCCAAGTCGGATCGGCGCCGCTTCTCAACAGAAATTCGATCACCTCCTTGTTATCGTTTTTTAGAGCGAAGTGCAGCGGCGAGTCGCCCGTTTTCCCCACCAGGAGATTCGGATCCCGAACGAGCTCGAAAAATTTTTTGAAAATTTCGTAACACCCTGAGGCGCAGGCCGCGTGGTAGTGTGTGAGGCCAGACTCGTCGGTGTAGTTGACGTCGAATCTGTCGTATATTTTAAAGAGCATACGGATCTTATCATCACACCCAGGAAAAGTGCTTCTGGCCGCGTGATGCACTGGTGTAGTTCGACGCAACCATGGCTTGCCGTCATAGTCTAGGTCAGGCTCGTCTTTGTAGCCAGTATTGATCACAAAGTCGATGATTTCGTCTAGGTCGATGAACTTCATAGACTCCGCGAGAAGCCAATCGATCTCGTCGGGCCGAAGAATGTCCCGGAGATTTGGAAGTTCACCCTCCCAATTTTTGACCAAGTGATAAATATTACGAAGAAATTCCACTCTCGTATCTTCAATCTCTTCATTGATCTTTTTATGAATACTTTTGAATTTTTCCAAACAATTTTGGTTGTCTCCGGACATTGTTTCTCACTCTCACGCAACGCACAATCACTTTCAATTCAAGGTATTTCTTATTTTGCACGAGAATCACTTGCTACAGCTGATTTTTCTTTGTTATTCACGCGGCGGTGGCGTAACTTGTACTGTACTGACTAATACTGACTTTGCGTCGTTGTTCGACCAAGCAACTCGCTCGGACACGCACTACAAGTATATTAATATAGAGAGCGAGACAAGCGAAGATCGAACGCGAAACAGCCAGGCATAGACGTCATGACAAAGGAATGAGCACCAATCTGTAGTATCGAGTAGACTCATAGGCCCTCGGCACCGTGAGCGTCGGACAATCACAGCTACCAAAAAAACTCTGATTCTTTCTGCATATAAAGATTATGTTGCACTTGTTCGTTTTTCATGGGTTTAACGCGATACTCACCGCACGTAACATAAGTTTTTATTTAAAAAATACTCGAAAAAGATTTAAGCAACTCGAGACCTGTCTTTTATCGAGAGAATCCGAAATCGTATCAATCGGATTTTTCTGATATTTTGGTTTTGAAACACGCGGATGGAAAATCATTGTGACCCTCGACCACTTTGACGAAATCTTACTAAGAATGTTACGTTCGTAAGAATCAGAAGTAAAAAAAATTAGTATTATAAGATGATCTATAAGAGTTGATGCATAGAAAATTATATTGATGTAAATTTCTAAATACATAAATACATCTTTCTCTATCAAAACTTTAATAGCTCACCTCAAAAAAATCTAAAAATTACGAGAACACGTATTTTGATGCAAAGTTGTTCAGAATTGAAATTACTGTCTTATTTTGATAGTTGTAACTGTAAGAAATGTTGGGTCGAATTACGAGATTTTCCGTTATAATGCTTTTTCATAATCAATCGGTTGATCTTCTAAATGAATATTAAAAGAATTTCTAGCTCAGACTTGAGTTTAATAATGAAAAAAGTGATGAGGAGTTGGGAAATAACAAATTTTCATTAAATTTTATTTTAAATTTATTCATCAACATGATGTGAAAAATCTCAAAAATTTAGTAACTACACATGTAGGAACACTTGAAAATTCTAGAAGAATACTTAT